TTTTTTTTTTTTTTTTTTTTTTTTTTTTTAGTATCAGTCCTTATGTACTTTCGTTCTCCTAATGATTTGATCCCAAGTGATCGCACTTTATTTACCCATCGATTATTAAACTAGACTCCCGTTACTGATTTTATTGACTGGCTACTTGTGAGTCTTTCACAAGACACTCCACCATCAACCAACCTTATTCCGCCCTTATAGCATCCACAGTCTCTAATTATGCATTCTGTGTCTTCCCTAATGATTTGATCCCAGGGGAACGCACTTTATTTACACATCGATTATTAAACTAAACTCCCGTTACTGACCTTATTGACTGGCTACTTGCGAGTCTTTCACAAGATACTCCACCATCAACCACGTTCATTCATCCTGTTCGTCCAGTCAACAGGCCTTTCAAGTCTGTAAAGTAAACTGTTTGAACTGCAAACATATTGTACGGTGATATTATTGGCAGATTWAAACGCTTTCATCAGTTACAGCAAAAGCAAATAAGGGATGTTGACGTTGTTTCGGACACATTTTAGTTCACTCGTATTTGTTCTTCTAGTTTGACATATTGCCTGCCTTGTAATTCTTTTCTTTCAATCTTTCACGTTTCTGAATGACTGAACCTTTTTACTAAGTCCTACGTATCCGTTTTCAGCAAATCAACAAGACCGTACATGAACATGAAAAGTATTTAGCTTGGATTAAGGAAGGTGGAAATATTCGAGGTAACCAAAGATTTGTTATTTCAAATGGTTTTGTAAAAAAAAAAAAAAAAAGTTTTGTATGCTTCGCTCTTCACCTGCGAAATACCTTTTCAGTTGTCTCTTTTCTTGGCAATGATCGTGTCACGTCAAGAAATTTCAACCTGCTGGAAGTCAAAAACGAGATCGGGTTTCATTAGAGCAATATGTTTTACGTCCATGCACGAAAATCGAGAGACTAATTCCTTGATTCCTGATACACTACTCTATATTGTTCTCCCAAGTTTAGACAAGCCCTTGATGAGAAACAAATAAAGTCAACGAGAAGAACTAGATTTTCATTTTAAGACACGCAGGTGTGAATGCAAAAAATCGGGTTACTCTAGAGAACCTGTAAGAAAAACTAGCCAAACTTAAAAACGTGAATAAAAACTTTTGATGGACCGTGTTTGACGGTGATCAAGACATGCAGTGGTAAGAATATTCCTGTACTAATATATAATACATTCATAATAGAAGTAACAATTTTTTTCAAGGGCCCTGTCTACAGTAATCGGCTTTCTATTCTCGATCCTCCRTTGCCTTCTTTCATTTGCTCGTTCAGTTTGATTTGGTTTATCAGTCGATTTTCTTGTTTTGAACGTTTTGTTTCATTTTTATTCAAATTGTTCTTTCTGTAATTGGTTTGGTTTGGTTTGGTTTGGTTTGGTTTGGTTTGGTTTTTGTTTTATTTTTCATTATCGTCTTTCGTTTCTTCATAGTCTTAAATTAAACGTTTCTTATATATATAATAGCAACTGATTTATATCGAAAGATTCAATTGACAAAAAACCATATATTAAATATTGGAAGGAATAGCGTGCC